AGCCGGACCGAGTGGAGCAGTCGTGGTGGGGCTCGGAGAGGAGGCGGTGCAGGAGGTAGGACCTTGCAGGGCATTGTCAAGACTGGATTTTGTGGGGATGAGGGGAAGCTGTGGAGGGCTCCTGCAGAGGATTTGGAGCACAGCCTGGTGTTTCCGAAGGGCCATTGGCTGCTGGGCTGAGCCGAGGATGGAGGCAGAGGGATCTTCTGGGAGGCTGTTGCAAGAGAAACCCTGGTGGCAGGGGCAGAGCCGTAGCAATAGAGGTGAGGGTGTATTTTGGAGGTTGAGTTAGAGCATTTGCTGATTGGATATGGAGTAAGAAGAGAAGTTTGCAAGAACTAGAGGTTTTATGATGTGCGTAGCTAGAAAAGAGGAGCTACCATTTATTGAAATTGGAAAAGCTTGCCAGAGGGGAGGGGGTTGGGGGATGGATGAAAAAGGTGAAGGGATTGAGAAATGCAGACTGGTAGTTACAAAATAGTTACCGGGATGTAGGGTACAGCAAAGGAAATATAGTCAATAATATTTAATAATTCTGTATGGTACTAGATGGGTACTGGAAATATCGGGGGAACACTTTGTAAGGTATAGGATTGTCTGACTGCTATGTTGTACTCTTGAAAGCAATACAAAATAATTTTGAATGTAAGCTATAATTGAAAAAAATTAAAATTAAAAAAATCTCTATGTTCACATCGCCATTGTTAATATTTAGAAACTATAAATCAGAAAACTCATGTACCGGGGCATGAAAGTGTCTGGAGATGAGGTTGGAGAAGTTGTCAGTTAAGAAGGCTGCGAGTTCAGTAGTCATTGAAAATCACAATATGCCTTTTAGAAAGAGCTGGATGGTGTTACTAGGGGACATAGCCACAGAAGAAGAAGCCCACGATCTGTGTTTAGAGAGAGTGGTGATGGCGATGGCAGAGACCCTAAACAAAAATAAGGTCCAGGCTCATGAAAGATTTACCTCTGCTTTTCATTTATCTTCATTGAGGGCAGAAACCACAGTGTAATCCTGGTGGAGTCTTGTTTTTCTCAGCCTGCTAATTTGTAAAACAAGACAGTGGGTGGAGATGATAAATGTAGAAAACGACAGACTTTGAGTTTTGGTGATTAGCATTTCTGTAGGACTGACAATTGTAGAAACGTCCCCGAATCTGCATCAGACTTACAGCAGCTGCACACCTTTTGTTCTCTAAGATGCTTATATGTTCCCTGTGCAAACTGCTAGCCAGAGCAGTCGTGTGTCCATCACATGTAAGTGGTATGTTAGGCGCCTGTCTGACTTCTAAAGTTAATAATATGCCTCTTCCAGTGGTTTGATGGCTCTTGGAGCTACAGGAAACTAACATAGGAGCAAATCTAGTTTGCCAGGTAGCAATACTTGGTACTGGTGAATGAGGTAAGGACACATTTCTGGGGAATGCATTTCAATCCAGGGTACTTGGTGGCTCTCCGTGTGCTAGGGAAGCATGTGACCAGGGAGTCGGTGGGGCTCTTGGGAGTCCACTGTCTCTGCTTAGGGAGGGAAATTAGAAGTGTTTGAAGCAAGAATGACCAGCTCAGGCTTAGATGCCCTTGAACATCTGTGAAAGTTCAAAGACAACCTCTGTTTTTAGTTGAGCTTCTTGTAGTATGGAGACTTTGGGACTTTGGAAAAATTGAAACAGATTAAACTGAAATCACTTAAAGGACAGTGTCTAAAGTGATAGGGTTGATGTCTACTATAAGCTCTAGGGTGTGATGAAATGTTTTTAAAGGAATCATGAGTGTTTCAATCAGGACAAAAATGAAAAAGAAATTGCAAGGCTGCAGTGGACCATTTTGAGAAGCTTTGACTAATTGTAGAAAGAGGAGAGAGCCGGTGACAGCACAGCAAATTTGTAAAAGTGATCTGTTTAGAGAGAGCCCTGTTGGGAGAGTGATTCGATGTGAAGGAGGAGTGGGGTCCTGGGACTGGGCACTATGCTAATAGCTTTTCCTACTTAGATTGTGTTGGGAACATTGGCGGCCTGAACAGTTCACTGCCTCAGTTTTTCCAGATTTTACAACAATACCCCACGCTTGAGATTGTGATTCTGATAAAAGACAAACAAACAGAGAAGAAACTCTGGCTTATTAATAGTTTGTGGCTATATAGGTATTTGAGAAAACAGATTTTATTTTTCCTACACTTTCTCCTTGATCTCCTTCCTTTTCTTCTACATTTGTTTCATATTCTCTCATGGCTTTGTTGGAAATATGTAAAGAAGGCGAATTATTCCTAGTTAGAAGTTTTTTTGTTTTCTCCTCTGCTGGTTTTCCACTTTTTAATTTGTGATATAACAATCTTTCCTAGAGTCATTAATTGTAATTCTGCAAACTGAAGATTTTAACTTCAGGTGAAAAATAAGTGACAGAAGTTGATGGACCTGAAACAATAAATGTTTGTATTTTATGCAGCTGCTACTAGTAATTAAGAGAAAATAAGCAGAATGGACCTTAACATGGTTAATTGCTCTGAGGGTTCTTGGTGCATTTACAGGACTCTGAGCTATTAGGGAACATCTCGCTGAATGTCTATAGCACAGCGCCACCTTGTGGCGGCACATTTTTTCTTTTAATGTAAAAGCAAATTTTTCATATTGTGTACAAGATATAACCTTATATTTTTCCTAGAATTTATACTTTACCCCGATAAAATATTTGAGGCACCTTTTAAGCCTATGTAGAATATTGGGTTGGAGAATTCAAGCGAACATCCTTGTCCTTAGAAGAGGCGTGCTGAAGTGTTTAGGGGTGAAGATCCACAGTGTCTGCATCTAACTGCTGTGTTTGGGATGGAGCAGAGGGAATGGGAGAGATCACCATCACTATGGCAAAAGGTTAACAGTTCACCTTTGGTGAAGGGACTATGGGTGTTCATTGTACTAGTCTTACAACTTCTCTGTTGTTGCAAATTTTCTTATGAAATTAAAAAAAAAAAAAAAAAAAAAGCAGGTAGAAAAAAAACTTTCGGGGTAAGGACATAAAACGGAGCCAAGAGGGAGGCAGTAAGAACCTCTACAGTGTGTAATGACCTGACTACGTTTCCACCACTGACTAGGTTCTACTTTTTCTAGTAGCTGATATGTCACTGTCCAGGGTTCCTTTGTTATATAATTCATTGTCCATAAGCTTTAAGGGCAAAATGTGTAACAGTAGATAGAAATTCCTCCTTAAAGGTCCTTTTCAGTAGGACACTCATGCAATGAACAGCAACCTCGACAAATACTTTCCAAAAGTACAATTTGGAATCCCTTTGCCCCACTCTTCTGACTTGATCCTGGAGTAGCCACACCGCTAGTTTTCTGGGTACCTCTCAGAAAACACTGCATGGCAATGAAATTCAGTGAATACTGGCTGGCAATGGGTTTGAGATCATACTTACTGACAAGTGCTTAAATCTAGCTGTTCCAGCTGAGCTTGAGCGAGAGCTGACATCGTGTAGTAGCTGATCCAATAAGGTCCGTTCCATCTCAACTGGCTTGGGAGGAGTTACTCTTAGGCAGGGTCCAATTTCTTTCTGTGCCATGGATTCGAATGTGCTGCAGTGCATAGTCAGACACATGGATGACTTCATTCCTGAATGTCTTCCTCCAGCAAACATATCCATGAGAGTGTTAATTAAAAAAAAATCCAGACAGGTATAACCAGATGAACACCTTTATCATGAAAACAAAGCAAAACGTATCACAATAAAATATTTCTAAAAATGCCTGACCTTGACCACTGTTACCCATCTCTTTTCTATTTTTAAATTTCTATAATGGTGGCCCTTTTTTGTGGCCATTCAAGTTTCCATGAATATCTTTTGTACTTCCTTTTATTTCTTAGTAGCTACCTGGATATATGTATGAGCACATGAATATTTCTGTCCTTCATAACTATATATATATACACACACACACACACACACACACACACACACACACACACATATATGCTTACTCAAAGGTGAACATTTTAGAAGATATGGCCTTATTCAAGTATGAAAGATTTTCCTATAAAAGCAGGACAGGTCTTTAAGTGTTGTGACACAGGGAATTCGTTTGTAGAAAGCTGTCTCTTGAAGTGACTTTGGTTTCTCTGGTTCTTGTGACAGGTTTTCTTTTAAAAGCAATAAAGTGATATAGGGATGTATTGATTTCCATTGTGGGCTGTGGGGCTTAGAATTCCCCTCCCCATGTCTGTCTATGAGCATCAAGAGCTTGTGGATTTTTTTCGTGAACAGAAAAATCTATTGATTCTCTGAAGAGCAATATTCTTTATTATGGGGGGGATCAAGTCCCACAGAAAGACAAATATTTTAATAGTCTCAGGACACATACCTATACATGGATAACTTAATAAAAAACGTCCTGAAACAAAACTTCTCCTTCCTTCATTGGATTTTGCTCATTTTTATTCTATTGTGTTAACATACTGATCACAATCTCCTAAGCGTGATGTTATGACCCACTCACGCAGCTGGGGCACATTGGTATGCTGCAAGAATTTTTAAAACGTGCAATACCTGACTATTTAGTCAGGGTCACCGACCTCTCCTCCCTTAGATGTCAAATTTAAAAAATGACAACAGTCAACATGACAATAGCAGTCTCGTGTGAATGAATCAAAATTATACCTATTTCTTTTTGTCAGATCTGCAAAAAACCTAGAATGCCTATTTTGGTGTGCGCAGGATTTTAGTAATCAGCGTGTGCTGTGAGATGGGGAAGGTTGGAATCGTTGCACTAGTGCATCGTGACCCAGAGCTTGGCACACCCTGCCGGGAGGTTTTGCAGCGAGCCAGGCTCTGTCAGGCGGAAGACGCAACAGTGAAATGCTGAATTCTCTCAATAGCCAAATGAAGAACAGGGTTGGAAAGGAGGGATTTCGAGAAGGAAAAGGAAGGAGGAAAGTTGACTGGTTGGGCTTTCATTCTGATTGTGTTGAGAGCGTCCCCAGCGAGTGATGCGCTGTCCTTGTCTCTGCAGCTTGACCACATACTCTCCCCTCCACCCATGCCATGTCGGAAATGCAGCAACCCAGACCTGGCCTCTGGCCCTGGAAAGTCACTGAAGTTTAAAAGACAGCTGAGCGAGGATGGACGACAGCTGCGGCGGGGGAGCCTGGGCGGTGCTCTGACGGGTGAGTCACGAGTGACATGTGTAAAGAGGGATGGAGTCTACACACTGGGGAGTCCTGAGTGGCTGTGGAGTTCCATGTGCAAAACTCAGAATGAGCCTGCCTCTCTGCAGGCCATTTGGTACAATCGAGTTCAGTCCAGAGAGCAGTGAATTGGGGATTTCTATTAGTAACTTTATTGAAATATAAGTTACATACAATAAAATGTACACACTTTCACTGTATGTGTACATGGGTTTTGGTGAATTTATATTCCAGACTACCATCGAAATCAATACATAAAATGTTCCCTGTGCCTCTTCCTAGTGGTTCCCACCTCCACCCTCCAGTCCGTACCCCAGACAACCATAGATTTGCTTTCTGTCGCTGTAAATTAGATTTATCTTAAGATTTCACATTGGTGGAATCGCATAGGACGTGGAAATGCAGCAATCTGTACCTGGCGTCGCTGGCTCAGTATAATGTTCACAGATTCATCCAGGTCGTTGCATATGTCAGTAGTGAGTGTCGAGCTGTGTACGGAACTGCCAAACGTTTCTAAAACTGGCATCGTACATACCCACCAACAACAGGTGGGTGATGAGAGAGGCGTAGCATGTTGTGGTTTTTATTTATATTTTCTTGATGACTAAATGTTGTCAAAGATCTTTTCACGTGCTTATTGGACATTCAGATATCTTTTTTTGTGAAGTGTCTGTTCAAATCTTTCACCCATTTTTTAGTCATGTTATTCAAGTTTAATTAACTTAAAAAACAAATCCAGAACACCCACAAATCACTCGTATTGACTTGAAAGATAGTCAAATGAAGGTAACTTGGGTCTTTAATAAATAACTCATCATGTAAATTTCATGTTATAAAAGTTAACTCTAAGTCACTAAAGGTTAGCCCGCTGCTGTGGCCCAGTGGATCGAGTGCTGTGCATGAGCTGAGAGGTCCCAGTTTGATTCCCTGGCCCAGGTTGTAGGTTTGAACCCCGTAGGGGCATGCAGGATCCTCTCTCTCTAAAAATAAATCAACAAAAACATGTTTTTAAAATAATCACTAAAGGTTAGATTTCTATCATTTCATTCTGAGTGCTTTTTCCTTTAGATATTTTTGAAGACACTTTATTGTTTTTTACACCCCTAACCAAGGTTTTCTCTGTACATGACAGTCTTGTCTGCCAGTTCCTAAATGGTCTGGAAAATAAGTTGTTATTCATTTTATTATAAAAGTGTGGATTTTGATGAAACCTCTGGGAACAGAAATGTGCTGCCATGTGATGAGTCTGGAACATTTGACCCCATGTGGCACACAGCAGGAACGGGGGTGAACCTGACCTCGGGCCAAGGGGAAGAAATTCGCCCCAAATGTCTGCCCTTCCCTAAGATTAAGGCAAGTGTTCCTGTGAGTTTGGCTGACGCTCTACTGCTTATTAAGCTGCAGGCCATTTGCTTTTTAAAGTGGGAGATCCTAAAGATTTTTTGGTCTAATCTTTATGTTATAGGTGGGGAAATTAAATCTTAAAAGTTAAAATGCTGCCCTGGCCGGTTTGGCTCAGCGGTTAGAGCGTTGGCCTGCGGTCCAGAGAGACCTGGGTTCGGTTCCCGCTAAGGGCACGTACCTCGGTTGCAGTTTGTCCCCGGCCCTGGTTGGTCATCTGGGTGGCAGCCCCTCGATGTGTCCCTTTCACGTGGATGTTTCTCCCTCTCTCTTCCTCCCACTCTATCTGAACAAAAAATGGAAAAATGTCCTTCAGGTGAGGATTAAAAAAAAAAAAAGTTAAAATGCTCAACCCCATGCTTAGTGATTTTACTTAGGAAAATCCTTCCTTTGCTTAAACTATGTTTGACCAATGGGGGGTGGGGGCAGGATTGGTTCTTTCCCATTTTTGCTAAAAGCGATTTACTTAAAGCGTTAAGATAATGCAAGGGTGTAGCTCCTGATGCAGATACATGGCCTGCAACATGGAATTGGTCTTCAGCTTTTTTTTTTTAATCCTCACCCGAGGACATTTTTCGATATTTTGTTCAGATAGAGTGAGAGGGAGAGAGAGAGAGAGAAACATCGACGTGAAAGCAACACATCGAGTGGTTGCCACCCACACGACCCAACCAGGGCCGGGGACAAACTGCAACCGAGGTACGTGCCCTTAGCGGGAACCGAACCCGGGTCTCTCCGGACCGCAGGCCGACGCTCTAACCGCTGAGCCAAACCGGCCAGGGCTGGTCTTCAGCTTTAAGGGGAAAAAAAGCTGGACTTAATTCTCCTTTTGTAATCTTATCAGCTCTAGCAATTCCATACTTGCGCAATATTAGCTTGCTAGATAATTATTTTAGGTAATTATTTGGTCAGATAGTTTAAGAAAATATTCAGTAGTATTTGAAGGAACTTAAATCTTTGGATATCAGTCTGTTTGTCAAAACGGTTAAAATTTTTATTGGCATATAAAGAAAACATTCTTAATTGGTCCAGTAGACAGCTTAGCTGAGGATTTAATGAAATAATATATGCAAAGTGTTTAGCTCAGTGATGGGTGGATATTAGCATTATGGGTATAACCAGCTGGGTCCGGGGTGATTTCGCCTGGGTTCTGCTGGGATTGGTTCTAGGTTGCAGTTTGGGTTCAGATCTGCTCTGTGTCTGTTTTCCTTGGACCAGCAGCCACCCAAGGCATCACATTCTCCTGCTAAAAGCCAGGAGCGCGAGAGTCCATGTCACCTGCACGTTTCCAGCCGCCACTGACATCATATCTGCTAATTGTTCTATTGGATGAAGCAAGCTACATGGTGAAGCCCAGAGTCAAGGGGCGAGGCACACTGTACCCACCCGACACGCTGGTGCGGATGCAGATACAGAATCCATGCTGGAGGGGAGCAAAACATTGAGCTAATGACATCATCTATCCAACTTAGCCTTCTGCTCTCTTTTTTAAGCAATCTTTTACAATAAAAATGTTTACATTTCCCTATTTTTCACGATAGAAGCAATATGTGTTCAATGTGGAAAGTTTCAACAATACCGAGTACTGTAAATAACAAAGCCCACAATTGTATCATGCATACACACCCACGGTTGAACTTCTGACATTTTCTTACTTAAATTTTGAATCAACCACTTAAGGGTATTTGATTAAAAGAAAAAGCAACCAGTACCTTTTCTTCAGGACTGGCATTTGAACAACAGAGTTTACTGTGCCCATCACTGCGTATTTGTTGTTGTTGTTGTTGTTGGCTGATGGTGTTTTCTGCCTTCGTGGCCCGCAGCTTGCTAAATAGGCACCAGAAGGAGCACCTACACCCTGACTGAGCTTTGGAGCTTTCCTCCCTGACAAGGAAGGTAGCATCGTTCTAGTTATTACTCAGACCCTTGCAGCCTGGGCGTGGCCTGTAATAACACCCCTGACAGTGCACAGCCAGGAAGCTGCGGAATGAAGGGCAGAACCTCAGGATCTAGAGTCCTGGCTGCTTGATACGCAAACGTGGCCTGAATCTTGGTGTTGCATTCCGGGGACACGGTTGCAGCCCTAACAGTCAGGAAGGGAAGGCTTCTTCTCCTTATCAAGAGGGTCATATTTTTCAAAATGTGTTAGGGCTGTTTGGAATGTAAAACAAAGAGGAATCTATGTATATGTGTGTGTAACTTGTACATAATAATAAGAAATCAACTTTGCTGACTATAAACTGGAATCATGGCGTTCTATCTTGGGGGGGAAATGGAGAGATTTTTCTCTCTTGGATTATGAAAATTGTTTTGGAATAAGATTTGAACATGTAAAAAAAGGCATTTCAGAGTGCATTTTGCTTCAAAGAAGAGAGGAAAAACAACACGATCTCAGAAACATTCTTTTCTTTAGAATGAACCTGGAGACCATAAGGTTTGCAAGCTGTGTGGAGCTGAAGAGGTTTCTCCTCCTATAGTCTCCTTAGCCTAGTGGGCAAGTCTGGGAGAATTCAGGTTAAGGCACATTTACATAAATATGGCTATTTTATAGGTAGCCTTGGGATTTAGTAAATATTGCACCTAAATACCTCCCATGTTCTCTAGATTCCTTTACTTTAGTAATACTATCCAAATAATACTGATATAAAATGGTGTTGTTATACTACATGCTGCAACAAGCACCCCCCCCACACACACACACACATACACACCAAATCAATGTCTTAACACAATAGTCCTTTATTTCTCACTTATGTACATGATTTGGGTTAGCTGGTGGCTCTCTTCCTTGTGACGAGGGACCCACACTCCTTCCATCTTCTGGTTTTGCTCTCTGTGGCCTTAAGGTACTGTGCTTCCAGCCGGTGGAAAGAGAGGGGAGAAACCTTTCTGACTTCTTAGAAGTCCCAGCCTGGAAGAGACACACTTCATTTCCATTCCCATTCTGTTGGCAAGCTCCCATCACAAGGTCACAGCCGGGCGCCAGGCTGGTGCAGGGCCCTAGACTCCTCCCTGCTGGGCCTGGCCGCCGAGTTCACCTACATAGGAGGCAGGGGGCAGCAGAGCACTGACTAAACCTGGAAGACGGGGAGAAGTAGGTTCTAGTAAAGAGATGGGATGTGATTAGGTTCGTCTTCAGTGAGCTCAAGTTGAAATGCTTACGCGATACAATGAATAGATACCTCCTCTAGGGCTGTGCAGCCACAGAGGCGGGGAGGATCCTACTCGGAGAGGAACAGGGTTGGCTTCATCTGAGTGACAGAGCAGGAACTCGGCGTCGGCCTCAGCAGAGGACCGTCCCTGGTAACCTTCCGGAGAGCAGTGGAGTGTGGGTGGAAGCTAGAGCGGTGGGGTAAGAGCACATGGCAATGAGGGAATTAGAGGTAGCGAATGTGTTGATGGTCAGGTCTGCAGGTGGCTCTTTTGAGAAGTTGTGCTGTGAAAGGGACTAGAGAAATAGCATGTGAGCTGCAAGGGCATGAAGGGTCAGAGGGAGGCAGCTTAACGATGGGCCATGCAGGCATGTGCGTAAGGCCCAGAAGACGTGAGAGCCAAAAGTGCCGTGCTTTGGGGCAATC